CCCCCCAGGTGGACCCCACTTGCTCAGGCGGTACCTGCCCCATCTCAGCCCCAGTGCTTTCCCCGTGACATCAGCAATCCTGGAGATAGAGACTGAGGTACAGTCCCCTGGGCTACCTCGGGTTATCTTAACTCTTTTTCTTCTCGGGAAAAGAGGCAGGAATTCTCTAAGGAGCAACTGTAACTTTAGACATAATTGCTGCTAAAGGTTCCATGAACTGGCTTGTACTAAATGACACTGATGTCCAGGGATGCTCCACTACTGCATATCAATCAGGAGTGACTTTAAGGATGGACACCCAGAGACAATCTCAGCTGGAACACCCATGCTGTAGGGAGCTGGCAATGGATGTCAAAGACCATGATGTCTATATAGGAAATACAGAAATGCACCAAAGGAGGCAAGAAACTTTGAGGAGGCTGGTGATGCTGAGAGGCCTGATGTAGGGGGAAACGTAGGTTGGGAAAGGTGGCTCCTCCCCTGAAGCCTAAAGGCTGCTGTATTTTTCTGATTCTGCAGAAGCAAAGTGACAGCGGTATGCACAGATCACCCCTGAGCTATCTGAACGTCTAGATCTGAGCTGAGGCATGAGGATGCACAAGGGGCAATGCAGCTAGAAGGGTCCCACCATCTTTCTGGATCCAGGACCTACCTGTCGTCAGAAGTGAAGGTCTCAGGGCTCAGCCCCTCTGCTGAGCTGCCTCCCTTAGTCAGAGGGAAGTGAGAAATGGGCTTCTGAGGAGGAGTCGACATGGCCTATGGAGTGAACAGAGGCACCACGAGGTCTACTCACTGCAGTGACCATGGTTCTGTCAGGCCTGACCTATCCTTTGGGCCAGGCGAGGCCTCCAGGCAGAAATTTTACCTCTGGACTGCAGAGTCCAGGGCTTATATAGACCATGGCCCCATTTTCCTCAGTTTTGAAGCTGTTGCTCAGTCAGGATGAGGAAACCTTCTGTAGAATCCCAGTCCCTGAAGCACACCTTCCCTGTCCCTCCACAATTACAGCATCTGTTTCTCTCCAAATATCATTCAGCAGTAATTAGGGGCTCATTATCTTAACAGAAAAATGCAGAGTGGGAAAGGGATGACAAGTCAAACTTGTGTATCTAGGGTCTCCCACTTTTCTGGCCCTCTCTTTGCTGTCCCCAGGCTCTAAGGCTCAGAATGAGGACCTGCCCTGGGAGAATAATCAGTCACATCCCTTCTCTCTGGAGGCCTTCTTTGCACACAGGAGTACAGTAAATTTCCCCGCAGTGATCTACCCTTTTGGAAAGTAGTCATTATTCTTACTGAGAGGTTTCTAGACCATTTTCTTAAGCAGAATATTTTTGGATAAAAAATTCCTATGGACATATATTCCTATTCCCAGATATTTCTACTTTTGAATTTCATATTCTAACATTAATTTTTCAGATGCATTAATAGTATTTGGTTAACTTGCTATCTTCTTTTTACATTAACAACTTAAAAGAGGTAAGCAAAACTTTTGGTTACACTCATGGTCACAACAGACAATTAATTAATAATTAAGAACCCTTTAAAATATTTCTAAGAATGCATGTACTGGTCTCATATATATTTCAATTCATTTTGCATTACCAATGTTGATATCTTCAGGATTAAAGGTATGGTTTCACTCATTCAGTTCACTCTCAATTATTCACATAGTGCCTGCTTGTTTTATCTTATTTTTAAGCAAAAATGGATTTTTTCAAGAACAAGTAGAAATAGTTACTTTCCTAAATATTTGAGAAAAGGCCAATTGTGTGTAAAGGGAGAATAGAACTAGGTCCGCCCTTATCTGAGTTTCCCATGGATGTCCCAGATGTACCCAGTGATTGCCTGGTTCCTAGGCTTTTCCCCTCCTGTCTCCAGCTTACTTTTCTAACGTTAGACTAGCAGAGTCTTAGTGCTGTTCAACTGCCCAGTTTATACTTTGAACATTTAGAGCATCTTCACTGGTTCCTCTGAAATATGCACTTAGAAATAGTGATCATTCCAAATGCCCTGAGACTCAGTGGTGCCTACAGTCCAGTGTCAGTGTTCCACTTCCGTGACAAGAGAACCTCTTCCCCTAGAAAAAGAATCTTCTGCTCATGTATAGAACGGGCCCCAACATAGAGCTATCCTGAGGCATTAGATCAAAGGTTAAATGCTTCCATGTGGACAAGAACTAATCAACCTGGACTCAAAGATTTACCAAAGAATCACTCTTCTTACACAACTTGGAACACTTATCTTCACTTTGAATGGAACTAAATAGATGAGTTTGCTAATATCTGAAGTGGACACAGTTGTTTGTGGATCAGGTACACGTCCCCCATGGAAACGTATTAGACTAACTTCTCTGCTTAACCATAAAGTCTTGTTTTCCCTTTATTTATATAGTAAAATATACATTTCCCTTTGTTAGTCCAATTGAAGATGGTAAATCATTAACTTTTATACCGGTAGGAACTCAGACAAGGAGGAGGAGAGATCATTGCAGACGAGTAAATAGCAGCACCATTTCCCATAGGAGGATACCCGTGGGCCCTTCGTGTGTCAGGCATGTGCTAGATGTCCACTGTCCTTGTCTAGGCTCTGCAGATCCCAGTGATGACATGCTTAGTTGTATGGGCAAATATGAGTCTATTCAGAATTAAACTCAAATATCTTGCAAAACAGAAGGTTTGGATTAAGATAGAATTACAGAAGACAATTGAGAACAATAGGTATCAAAATCTTCAACAAATGAGAGTAAGACAAATTCACCAAATTTCTATCATATCTGTATTCTCTGTCAGACTTTGTGTTAGTCTCTGTGTTCTCCAAGAAAAATAGGAGTTTTTGTCTTTAAGGAGACCTACTTCAACTGGCT